TGAAATCTCTCAGTATTTGTTTGTCTGTAAAAATGTTTATTTCTCCTTCATTTTTTCTGAAAGACATTTTTTATTAGTTACAGGATTCTGGGTTGTCTTCTGATTTGTATGGTTAATGGTGAGCTTTTGGATCTGAGACTTGGTGTCTCTCATTCATTTTGGAAAATTCCCAACTATTATCATTTCAAATACTTTTTCTGCCCGATTCGCCCTTTCCCAACTCTCTGTCTCTCTTTCTCTCTCTCAGCTTTCTCTCCCTCTCTCTCTCCTGTTTGGAATTCCAGGTACAAGAATATTAGTTTGCTTGATGCTGGCCTTCAGTTCTTGGATGAACTCTTCTGTGCCCTTCCCCAGCCACTCTTTTCTCTTTCAGTTCAGGTAATGCCTATTGGCCTATTTTGAAGTTCACTGAATTTTTTTCCCCACTTGCCTATATCAAGCCTATTGATGGCATTATCTGTTCTATTGTAATATTTGTTTATCTGTAGCATTTCTGCTCAGTTCTATGGTTTCCATATCTCGGATGAAATGCCTCATTTGTTCATGCATGTTGTCTACTTTTTCCACTAAAGGTCAGCATTAAGCTTAGTTTAAATTTGTTGTCTGATAAAAGTTTTAACATTTTTATCTTATATCTGTCTGGTTCTGTTGACTGCTTTGTCTCCTGGCAGTTTTGTTTATTTTTTCTTTTTCTTGCTTCTTTATGTGCCATACAATTTTTTTGTTGTTGAAACCTGGATATCTCATGTCCTAGAGACTGAGGTAAATAGAAAGGACATGCCTCTTTCTTTAGTAAGCCCTCAGTGTAAGGAGTTGAGCCAGTGTAGTCAGGAATGGGTCAGTTTGGGTTTGCTGTTCCTGTGATTACGCTCAGTGCACCACCAGCCCAGATTCACGTGTGGTTACCTTGTGCTTAGGACAGAGAACGGCATGCCAGAGGGTTTGCTTTCTGTATGCTCTCTCCTCTGCTTTGGGTCTCCTGAGAGGCCTGCAGTTCGGAGAGGTTTCTATCCATGATTCCGTACATCCCCCAGGGACAGAGTGCTCCTGATTGAAATTCTGTCGCTTGCTGACCTCGTCGTGGGGGAGCAGCACTCTCTGTGGTCCTCGTTCAGCCTCAGTCTTAGGCAGGTGCAGCGTCCTCGGGTCTCAGGGACAGCACCTGCTCAGTTACTGTCAGGAAGGGGACGTACTATGGTCTCAGCCCCCGATGCTTTCCTCCCCTCTATCTCTCCGATGTCAGTGGGCCTTAACCTGTGCTTTGAGGCTAGTATGGTTTCCTGCCCTTTCCCCAACTTCTTATTTCTTTGATCCTTGGGGACGATTGCGTGAAGCTTCATGCCTTTCCTGCAAAAGCTGCTCCCCTCTCTCCAAGCTTGCACCGTAAGGGAGGGTTTCTTGAATTCCTCACCTTGTCTCCAGTATTTGTCCTGAGCTTCTGATGAGGGCCTTTTATCCGTTATCTTTTGTTTTTTGTCTCTCCTCTTCATTAATTTATATACACATCTTTTTCATATGAATAAGTTCATTTTCAACTATCTACTTTGTTTTCCACAGTGTTTTATTTAAATATGAGTTTTATAATCATGTACTTTTGGCCTTTAATTTATTTTCTTAGGTCAATAAATTTATTTCCCACCTCATTCTGTTGTTTTATCTCATTTTGATCTCTTATTTAAAATAATTCACATTCTTATTACTTCTGCCTTCAGATGGTGGATTTACAGGTTAGGTTATGTTTCATTCAGAATGGATTAAAACAATTTTTTTCACATGACATACTGTATAACTCATATTTCCATCTCATTCACTAGCATGTATAAATCTGCATCTCTTTGATTTTGTTGATTGAGCATGAATGAATTCTTCCGTCTCTTACTCCGTTTGATTTGAGCCTAGTCATCTCCCACTATAAGCTATGCTTTGAGGGCTAGATTTTGTTTGAGGACAATGGCAAGTGTGCTGAAGGTTAGGAGGAAAGGAGCAGAAAACTCAAAAGGTGTGGATGAATCGTTATGTGGCAGAAATTATAGATCAGTCTACTCAACATGGATCACACTCCCCTCTTAGTGTACCTTCCTGCGTGATCCAGGCAGAAGAAAACTAAAAATTACATTTCCCAGACATCCTGGTAGCTATTGTGAATTTGACCAGTCATATGTGCTTAGCCAAGTCTTAAATGTGTAGAGAAGCGTCCATGTTGCTGGTACATACCATAGCAGGCATGGCATTACTGGTGCTGCAGTATAGCTAAGATGGTACATTATAGGACCAGCGGCTGTGGTGGTGACTTCTAGTTCCTCCATGGTCGCTGAGGTAGTGCCTCTCAGCCGCCAGCGGTTAGAGCAGTGGTGCCCAGCTCCCACAGATTCTTCACTGTGGCAAAGCGTGCAGTCTTCTCGCAGGCCATTCTGCTGTGTTAGTTTTGGATCATCACAGGGGAACGCACCTATTCTTCACCAAACAGGTAGATAAAACCCCTTTCTGTAAACTGGCTTTCTGTGAAAATCCCATTACACAGTAATTGCCAGTATCTGTAACCAAAGTCTGACCTGTAACACCTTGATTGAAATTCCTGGACCAGGCTGCAAACAAAAGAAACCAAATGGAAAATGATGTTAACAATAAGAAACCTATCTTCTACAGTAATGGAGGTCCAGATTTAGGAAGGATTCCAGGTTCAGTGTGATAAGTTGCTCGGTGATGTCATCAATGACATAGGCTCTTCCTTTTTTTTTTTCATATTTGCTACACTCAGCTCACTCCTTCTATGGTCACAGCAGGGCTGCTTGTGGTCATTGGGACCTGTTGCTCCTGTGCTTACGTATGGACAAGGGATAGAGGTCGGAGAGAGGCCTGCTTCTCTTGCCTACAAGCCTTGAATAACCTCTTTGCTTCCAGTTGACCCAAATCACCTCCCAGTTACTAAACTATCCATTGGTAAGGGAATTATTGTGGAATGGTTAGAAACGGCTTTAACGAACCATCAGGGTCGAATCAGCTTCAGGGGTCAGCTGCAGTGTCCACTGTAGCCATTCTGCCTTTTCTCTTCTTTCCTGTCTGCCTTCTCTGGGCTTTTTTCCAGTGAGGCTAGAACACGATGGCAAGCTGTATGGGTGTTTCTGCTGGGGATCAAGACGTTTGAAGTGGCTTCTACTCTTGTGAGAATTTTGTCTCCTCTTTTGGGCTTCCTGGACCTCTTCTCATCCTAAGGCTGTGAGCAATTTTAGAATTTCTCTGACTGTTTTCCCAACCAATAGTCCCTAACTTCCACCCCTAGAGAGAGCTTTCGAGTGTAGAAGGGTTCCAAGATGAGGTGAGTTTCCCAGGGCAGTGAAGATTCTTAGAAACTTCTGTCTTGTTTTTATGCATGTTCTTTTGCTTAATTGCTTCTTGTGTATTTTTTTGCTGATATTTACTTGATTTTTGTTCATACTATTTGGCTTTGGAAAGAGATTTCACTTGAGCATTCTACCTCAAAATCCTTATCTTTAAAATATTCTTTTAATATTGGCTTTCTAGATGTATTGCATTTTGGCCAGTGTACATGCTCTGTAAACTTTTAGATATTTAGAATCTAGACTATCAACATGACCTAAAAGATCATTATTTAAAATGAAATTCCCATATGTACTATTAAATAGAATGTATTCTCTTCTGTTATTATTGGTTATAAATGTATAACTATGTAATACACATTTACATATATAATACAATATATACATATTTGTAACATATACAGTATTGTAATATATAATTACTTATATATAATACATAGTTTAGTGTTATTAGTTGCATCATATAGAGCTTCTTAATCCTTGGGGTAGGTGTGTGTATGTGTACATGTATGTTGTGTGTTTGCGTGCACATGTGCATGCTTGTCCTGTTTTACACTTAGAGGTGTGTTAGAGTATCCACGTCCTCTCATTTCAGACTCCAGGGACTTCCAAACATTTGGTCCCAGCGAGGACAAAAGTCGTATTTTTCCCATCCAGGTCTTACATGTGCTTGTCTTGGCATAGTTGTCAGTACATACACTTAATCACATTATAAAGCAGAACACTTCTCAGTCTACTACATCTGTTACATTTATGACACTTAACAGTTTTCTCCACAAATAGTGGTTTTTGTGTAATTTCAAGGTACATAGTCGTAATTTTCCCAAAACGAGGATCCTTCCTTTCAAAGTGATAGACTCTGCACCTCTGGAAAAATAAACTCCCATTAATTCTTAAGTGGCTGTGTTTTTACTTAAGAGAAGATGACAAAAATAAAAATAAAATCTCCCTTTATATATATATATATATATATAACTTAGACATGTGAAATTTTCTCTTTCTTAGGTATGGAAATTGTTTCCGAAATGGAGCTAGCTCAGTTGGCTATGGTTAGACCATTAACATTCAGTAGTCATGAGAATTCAACCATGAAGTATTATTATGAAATGCTTGAGAGAAAATTATCAGAATTTGAAATCATCGAGGAATTTATGGTAAATATTTTGGTCTTAACAAAAGTCTGTATGTGATCTCTTTTTCCACATCACAACCAGAAGATTTCTATTTCTTTTCTTTTTTCTGATTGAGTCGATTGTTTTTATGTTTTAAAAGTGGTAGATGTACATAGTAAAAGAGTCAAATAGCATAAAATGTTATAAAACGAAGTCTCTCTCTCTTTCTCCCATGACTCCCTAGGCTGCCTTTCCACCATAAAGTTTGTCGTATAAACTTTCAGAAAAATTGGCATGTACTTTACTCACTACTTCACCCTTTCTTTTCTTTTTTTATTAAAAAAGTTCCACATAAATAATTTCCAAGTATATTGTCAGCACATATAGCTGTATCTTAAGTATTGCATGGTAGTTAATTATGTGAATAAAGACCTTTTCTTTAAATAGTCCCCTACGATGGACCTTTAGGTTATTCTGGTCTTTGCTATTATGAATAAGAACCACCCCTCTTCATGTGCATGTGCATATGTGTGAGTATTCTCTAGAACAAATTCCTAGAAAGACAGCCAGTATTTTGTGTTATCAAATTTTTGGATCTTTGCTCATCCTTTAAATGACAAATGATTTCTTATTGATGATCTAATTGGCATATCTTTATTTGACAACAAACAAATAGCTTTCCATATGCTTTTAATTCTAATTCTTTGCTCAGTTTCCTGTCAATTAATAACTCTTTATGTAATGAATAAATAACCCTTTTGTATGTGTTCTAGTTGGTGAAATCTTCCGGTTTGTTTTTGTATTACACACGTGTGCACACGTTTACCAAACAGAAGTGGCTGCTTTTTGTGGTCGGACGTGGCAGTCTTTTCTTTTCGGGCTCCTGGGTTTTCTGCATCCTGTAGGATTTTCCCTTTCACACTGGGAGCGTAACAGTTACATAATGCTTTTATGAATTTTGTTAATGTGTAAGTCTTCTACCCAGCTAGAATTTAGTTTTTAAGGTATTTGGGACCCGGCATTATGTAGCTAATCAGATGTCCCCAGGTTCTCTTGCCCTTCGATGGGGTGAAATGCCGCTTTTATCATGTACTGAAGCTCTGCACTTACTTTAATTTTTTTCCATTAGTTTGTTTATTCATGTACTGGTACCAAACTTTTAAAGTTAGCATCACTTTACATTTTATTTTACCATCTAGTAAGACTAGTCTTCCCTCATTACTCTTTAACAAAATTCTTCCTACAGATTTTTTTTTTCGAGGTTAATTTTAGAATTGGTTTGCAGAAAGAGTAAAAGGTAAAAACCTGATCATATTAGCCTACAGCTTAAAACCTTCACTGGCTCCTCATTCCCCGTGGCAGTAGTTGCCAAACAGTAACTTAAAAGACCGGTAGCGCCAAGCTGGCTGCCCGAGAGTTACTGAAGAGCTTTTGAGAAGTACGGACTCTCAGGCTTTATCCACAAATACTCTGATAGAGCAGGACTGGATACATCGCAGTTCCTTCTGCATGTGGAACCAGGCCTTCCTGGTTAGTTCTGGTTTCCCTTGGGCCGAGTCGTGTGCTCTGGGCTGTCGCTGCTGTGCTGTGAACTGCTCCCCAGAGAGGACGTGTGCCTCCGGGCCGTTGTTGCTGTTCTCCTGCCTGCTGTGGTACCTGGCACCTCTGCTCTGCTGTCCTTCCACACGCGGACTTCCGTGTGCCTGGCTTCCCGTGACTCAGGAAGGGCCAGTTCAGGGCTCTCCCTGTGCTGTCGGGTGCAGTCTCGTGCTGTCATTTACACTAGTGTGTCTGTGCATTGGTCACATGTCTGTCTCTAGCTGCTCTGTTAACGTCTTAAGGATGAGGCCATTTTCAGGTTCATTTTATATTTTGATACCTAGGACAGTGATGAGTACATACTAAATGTTCAATAAATGTTGAATTTGCAGTTGTTAAAGAAAATTTTTGAAAAGAAGAATTCTTTAATTAGTATCCTAGCTGTAATTTCTTCATGGAGCAAGGAGTAAATTGTGAGAATTTGTATTTTTTGTTTATATGTTTTTGTTGCTGTTATTTTATTGTTTTTCTTTATAAAATGATACATTTAGGGGTAAGTCCTAAGAAGTAAATATTCTGTACTGGCTTTTTTTTTTTAATGTGAAAAAGGAAAAATCTTGAAGTTGAAGGGAAAAAGTATCTCTAGAGAGTTTAACATTTCCTTTTCAAGCAACTTATTGATTGATATCTCAAATTTTAGATATTCTATATAGTATTTTTTCAGTGAGGTTCTGACTTCTCTATCATACAACACGTTCAGCATCAGGTGATGTCATATAGGGACTAAGAATCATGAATGCTACACAAAGACAGATTTCTTTCTCTCTTTCTTTTTTGCTATAGTAAATACATAACTTATATTTCTTACCTTTTAAAGGCTTTGAGATCTAAGAATCTGCCTGCTGTGTTCAACTCTGGGAATGAACTACACAACAGACACAAAAACAGATATCAAGATATTCTTCCATGTAAGCAAAAGGTGGTTTAAAATATCTTCCTATTTACGTTTGGGAAAAGATAAAAAGTGGGTTGTGTGGCTTTCAGTATTAGGCATTCTGACCAGTGACCGTGATGGAGAGCTCTGGCAGCTGGCAGTGGGTGGCCTGGGCCCATTTTGGGTGTACTAGAAAAGGGTGAGGATCAAGTCTTCTGTCCCAGGTGAATCTCCCAGTCACCGTCACAGGGTTATTACACAAGTCCTGCAACCTTGTGCTTACGTATTGCTACTCCTCAGGCCGTGAGCCATCTAAAACATAATGTCTAACCATCTGAGACGTTTCCTGGCCATTTTTTTGTTCAGACACACAAATACAGTGGGGCTATTTGTACCCTTTGTCCTGGACAATAAAGCTGTCAGTCTCCCCTCTAACAGGAGGCTGCCCTTTGGTTGTTGCCAGAGGGTTACACATTGCTTCCCTGTGCGGGGGAAGCCAGTGTCGCTGCCTCCCCGCCCAGGTACAGAGTTACCAGTCTCAGACCATCCAACGAGCAGACACAAAACAACATAGTTTTAATCTGAGGCAGGAAGTCTCATTATATGCCTCACGTTCCTTTCAAAGTCAAAATTTTTCCAAATTAAATAACCATTTTTCTTCCTACAACATGACCTTCCTCCTTTATTCTGTATTTTATTTAGTATAACCACTTATCTGTCCATCCAGAAAACCCTGAGTCACCTGCAGTATCCAAAGTGGTCACAAAGTCCTTTTGATTCCACCTCCTTAGTGCCTCTAGCATCCTCCCCATCTCTTAATTCCCACTGCTGCTGACTTGAGTCGAGCCTGTTCGTCTCTCAGCTGGTCTCTGTGTTCTTCACGGCCTCCACTCCCATCTGCTCACGGCAGCTGCTGAAATGATGTCCCTACAACGTGAATCAGAACGTTACTGTCCCTTGAAAGTGCTTCTTCGGTGCTCTGATACTGTCATGGCCAAGTTCTTTAGCATGGCATAAATTTTACCTCTCTAGCCTCGGCTCTCCCACAAAACAACTTCTGGTTTCCGGAACTCATCGTTCTCTGTCTCTTGTCTCCAGGCCTTTGAGTCTGTGGTTCTTGCAAGAACCGTCCGTCCTCCCTCCTTTGCTGAGGTGGTTCCTGCTGTCTTTCAGAGCTAGCCTGACCAGACTGTCCTTGTTTCCCACAAAGCTGGCTCTGGTGCTTCTCTAACAGTCCCATGCCGTCTTGTGACTACCCTCCCCCACTTACCAAGCTGTATTTAAATTATCTGTTCACGTTGCTGTTTCTCCTGTTGAGGTGGTTGTCATGAAAATCAGAGTAGAATACAGTGACTGCCGTCATTGGATAAATACCTTCATGTTTGTTGGTTCATTCAGATCTGAAATAACTTTATGTTTATAAAAGTAACACTACCTTCCCGGGATAGTTAGAATAATTTATTCTTCTATCTTTTTGTGGGAGAGTGTGCAGAAGTGCATTGATGAGTATTTCTGAAATCAGGGTGATAAACCATTATTAGACATTTTAAGAGATAATACCAACAATTTGCTGTCACTCCAAGAGGCCAGTTACATAAAAGGCCCCAATCATATAATTCCTGTGTCTGCATGTGCAGTTAGTCCTCAGGGAGACTGAATGTAAACAGGCCTTTAAAATGAGACTGTCAGGATTTTGAGAAACTTGTTTTAGGATATGGGGTACGTTTAACATTTGATCTTGTGTGAACTCTTTATTCAGGTACAAGAAGAGTGACAACTAAAAAGATGTCAAGATATGAAAAAGTAGTTAAATGATTAAAACTAAAAAAAATCATGTAAAATTTTTTGCTTTTCCCTTAAAAGAAAATCAACTGTCATTCAACCAAGTTCTTTAGTTCTTTTTTTTTTTAACCAAACATTCAGTTTATTAAAAGGGATCAGTTAGCAGGGCTGGAGGAAAAAAGGCCAATACTGATGCAAAATAGCAAAACCTTTTTAATTCTGAGCACACAAGCAGCACGCCCAAATGCAACTGTAAGGAAAGCCCTCCTGGAGCACAAAAGGGCTTATGCCCCAAAGGCTTATCCAACAGAACCTGGAAAAGAACCGCTGCAAACGCAGTGAGTTAGGCGACGGCCCCATAAAGGCAGGCAACTCAAGGCCTTATTTTCCTAAACCCAAACCCGTGCCTTTAGCTGATCCTGGTAAAGGTCCCGATAGCCAAAGGGAAACAAGCTTTCCTGTCCTGCTTAGAGGCCAGCGAAAAGCAAACGTTGAGAGGCACAGAATGCTGCCCACTGGCCCCCGCCCCCACACAAGGACCCCCTGCTTATGTCAGCTGACCCACTGAGTCACTGAGGAGGTCAGTCACTGGGAATGCAAATCCACAAACACAGGCATGCTAATGTATTTACATTTAAATTTCACACATTGAGCTCAGTATATGCAAGCCGACTTCAGATTTTTGAAATAGAGATAAATGGACAGCCTTAAGGATCTGAGTTATACACTACACAGTATATCCAACAACTGGAAAACTAACTAGAAGGTAGTATAACTACGTATCTTTACATTGAGCACGCAAGTGTAGGGACAAGCCCTGCAGTTTGAAGAAAAGCCCATTCAGGACACAGCTGACAGCCTCCCCTCAACTTGCAGACAAACTAAGGAGTCTGCCAGTACACAGAAGCCACTGAATTCAGAAAGGTAGCAACAGGTACTAAGGAGCTGGCTTTTGCCATCAGGGATTGTAGAGACCAGCCTGAAGCAGGGCCAGGGGGAGGTGGGAAACGTTGCAGCTCAGATCCAGGGTCTGCAGGTGAGAACAGCAGACCACAGGCAGGATGGTTAGCGCTGTCCTCAGACATTCCCGGGTTTCCAGACAAGTTCCTGGGACGTTTTCCCCAAACAGTGAACCAAGTTCTGTTTTAAAGTCCACTGATTTTCCTACCTCATGCCACAGTGTAATTTAATCTAAAATGAGCACACTTAAGTGACAGTTGTAGTATATTTCTTTGATTTCTTCACCACACATTTCTTGAATTTATAGTCAAGGTTTCTGAAGAATCACACTGAGAAAGCCAGAGCAATAATTAGTTTTCTCTCCTCTTCAAATGTTGAGAAAACTAAATGAGAGAATTCACGCATCTCAGGGCACTGTAAGTACAGGAGTCCTCAGTTTGCCTGGCTCCAGTATGCATACATTTCAGTTGCTGTGTCTAATTAAGAAACACCAGTCCCTCAGTGACACTACTCAAATTTCTGCACCCAGGCTGTATTCTGTGAGTACCTGTGTAAAGTGCAAACTTCACTTCCGGCCCTTCAGTCCACAGATCACTACGTAAACCACAGATGTGCCTCGTGCGTGCCTGTTAGTCAGCTCGTGCGCAGTCAGCAGAGCACGTGGCTGTGTTGCCTCCTTGCCTCTCAGTGATAAGCCCACATAACACTTCTCAAAAATAGACGATCAGAAGAGAGAGCTGGCCAATGAAGATAGAATTGCAGCAAAGAAAGGAAAAGTGATAGCACTGGGGGTGAAATTCTAATAGAACAGCAATAGGGTGTAGAAGAAGATGTTGGGCTGCCACCATTGAAGAGGCCCCAGAGGTGAAGCCAGAATAACCTGCTGAAGGGGAATTTGTCAACATAAATGAGGGAAGAGTTTGTGGCAGAAAGGATGAAGGTGTCCTGGTGGAAGTGATGCTGGCAAAAAAGCACTTCACGTTAAAGAAACTCTTGGAGCTGCTCCACAGCAGCATAAGTGCAAAGGACAAAGTGTTGGAAACTGATCCAAACTTGGAAGGGAGTCCAGAAGTTCACCTAGGCACAGAAAAGAGCTCACTCCATGTTGTGAGTTATGTTATGGAAAGCAGAGGCACGCACTGTTGAAACTACTCTTGATAAAGTTTTAGTAAGTTAAATGTCCTAATTCTCAGTGTTTCTAATGTTTTAAATTGCAATGTTCTACATCAATATTAGTCTTGCTCTTTTTCACTTTCCTATATGTTTATAACTAACAGTGAAATGGAGTTTCTAATGTTTTGAGAAAAAATGTCAAGGGTATGGAACAATCAGTTTGTCCAACTGTGATTATGAAGATCTTTTTGCACAGCTTCAGCATACACAGCCACGTGACAGCTCTGTCCTACCGCGTAAAGCAAGAACGGACCTCATCATGTAGTCCAGGGAGTTTTCAGGTGTGAAGACAGTATCTTGCATTTCTGCAGCACCTTACACTTCACAAGGCATTTTAAAATGTGAATTCTTACATAAGCTTCATAAACTCCCTCTGAAGCAGACCCGTCAGATACTATTTTTCCTAGCTCTGAGGCTGAAAGATATTTTAAAAGCTAGGAAAAGAGCAGGGCCATAGCACATGTCAGCTGCTCTGACTCTCAGCCCAGTACCTTCTCCGTTACTGTCTGGGTCAGGGTTTACTCAGAACTAACAAAGACAGTGACTTAGATTTCTAGCCATTTTCCACTTTTCAGAGCAAGTTTACATGTATGTCATTGAGTTCTTTCTGCAGTCACATGAGGAGGGCAGAGCAGATAATAGTATCTGAATTTAAGGATACAAATCAGTAAGGAAAGGATAATCTTTCAACAAACATTACTGGACAATTGCATGTTCATGTACCAAAAAAAGTGGTGTCAAAAGCCAGGGATGCTTGGGCAGAGAGGGAATGTGAGGCTGTGTGAGGACACAAGAGCGTGGTCAGCTACACGCCAAGGAGAGAGGCCTTAGAAGAAGTGAACCCTGCTGACACCTTGATCTTGGGCTCCTAGTGTCCAGAACTGTGAAAATAAGTTTCTGTTTAAGCCACTCAGCCTGCGGTGTTCTGTCATGGCAGCCCTAGCAAACGGGTGCGCTGTGTCATTCCATTTATGTAAAATTCTAGAAGATTCAAACTAATTTAGATTGACATGAAGTTGATTAGTGGTTGCCTTGAGGTCAGGAGTGGTGCGAGACAGACAGATTGCAGAGGGGCGGGGTGTGAACATCTGAGCAGTGATGGAGATGCTCAGTTATCTG